TTGTTATTTCTTCTTGTTGTATTGTCTCCTTAATCATAATGTAGTGGCCTTCTTTGTCTCTTTTAACCAATTTTAGTTTGAAGTCTATTTGATCTGATATAAAGATAGCTGTTCCTGCCTTCCTTTTTGGTCCATTTGCTTGTAGAACTGTTTTCCATCCTTTTATTTTCAATCTGTTTTTTTCTTTTACATTTAGATGTGTTTCCTGCAGACAGCAGACGTTGCAACTCGGAGTCTTTTTATTGATGAGTTTAAGCCATTTGCATTTAGAGATATTGATATACTGACACCTACATTCACCATTTTAATCATTTTGTATTTTTTATTCCTTGTTTTGAACTGTTCTTGTTCATTCTTTGGATTTGGGTTGAGGGCTTCTTGTAACATTTTTTGGAATGGGGGTTTAGTCATGACAAAATTGTCGAGTTTCTGTTTATGTGACAATATCCTTATTCTTTCTTCATAGAGGAAGGAGTGCTTCATAGGATATTCTTGGTTGGTATTTAATATTTTGAGTATGTCCCTCCACTCTCTTCTTGCCTGTAGTATTTCTTTGGAGATTTCTGATGTCATCTGGATCAGTTTCCCTTTGTAAGTTATTTGTTTCTTCCCTCTTATCATTCTCATTATCTTTTCCTTGTCTTGTATTTCTTGGAATTTTTATTATAATGTCTTGGTGTTTTTCTCTTCATCATGGTAGTTTGGTTTTCTTCTTGTTTCTTGGATGTCTACTTTCATGTCCTTCTCATATTAGGGAAGTTCTCTTCTATTATCTCTGTGAATATTTTCTCGATTCCTTGGCCTTTCTCTTCACCTTCTAGGATACCTATTACTCTGATGTTTCCTTTCCTAATGGTGTTAGATAGCTCTTGAAGTGTTTCTTCATTCCTTTTCCTTTTCACTTCTCTTTCTTTTTCTTTTTTAATTGTCTTTGTTTCTGTGTCTTCGAGGGTGCTGATTCGTTTTTCCATTTCACCTATTCTGTTTTCATTACTTTGCCCAGTATTCTTTATCTCCTCTAGTGGCCTTTTCATCGCCTGCATTTCTTCTATTTCCTTTTTTAATGTCTCATTTTCATTCTTCAGCTCATTGATTGCTTGTCTCTCTCTTTCTTTCTTTTTTTTTTTTTCATTTCTTTCATTCATTTCCCTGTTTGCATTCTTCAACTCCTTGATGGCTTGCCTCATTTCATTTTTTCCTTCTCATCTTCTTTTTGTTTGTTTATCATGATGAATTTGAATTCTTTATCTGGTAGGCTGAGCAGTTCTTCTATTTGGTGGTTTCTGCTGACTAATCTTTTTGTGGTGAATTTTCCCCCTGTGGACTTGCTTGCATATTTGTTTATCTTCTTTTCCCTGCCAGGTAATTTTTAATACTTTCTATTTGTTGAGAGACGGTGTTGCTATTATTGACCAGCATTCTTTCTAGATGTTCTTTCTGGGATGGCAGAGGGACTTCCAGACACTTCAGTTGTGGAGGGCATTCTGAGCCTTGTGTTGTTTCAATTATCTCCTGTTTTTCCAGCCCCTACTGTGTGGAATTATGTCTGTCGAATCTGCCAGTGGGTCTCTTGAGTTGTTCAGCTTCTTTTGGTAACTTGTGTCCTTGTCTCTGGAAGGTGCCTGTCGATCTTTGTAGCCTTCTGATGTCCCTGGTTACCTGTATGCTTGGATGCAGCTCTGGAGGGTGGAGTGCATTAGAAGTGTTGCAGCTGGCCTGTGGTTGAACCAGTCACTGGTTTTGTTTATTTTTTGAGCACTGTGATCCTTACTGTCTCACATATCTTCCGGCCACTGCTGTTCAGTAACACCTTGAGTACTAATTCTGCACACCCTCCAATTGTACAGGCTATCAGTCCTTCCTCTAGGCCTCCAGGGCTCTTTGTATCCACTCAGAGCCCTCTCTCCCTGAGTAGTCTTTTCCTATCCACTTGGGGGAGTGTTAATGGGCCTGTTTTGAATCAGTCTGACCTTTTTTTGTTTTCCCCTTTTATCTCAGGGGCTTTGTGAACTTGCTGGCCCCACCTTAGTGACTAATCCCTGGAACAGGCCCCAGGCTTATGATATGGGGGTGGCTGAAAATGTGGTATGCTTTGCAACTGCCCCAGTCACCAGATCACCAGATTTTTCTTCCCCACCCCCTGAGCTTTATGTGCCCCCTTGCACAACCTTTTCCCATGGTTCGGTTCTACTTATGGAGCCAAATGAGCAGAAAGACTCGGTCTATGGTGCTAGAGCCTGGGCGTTCCCCTGATGGATCGGAGTTACAGTGTTCCACTTATCCTGTCTGTGGCGCTTCCACGTAGGAGTTCCCTTATCGGAACTCCCCAATCGCTGATTCTTCCTCAGTTATCTTCATTCTAGTGAGTCCAGGGTGTTCTCATTTGAGTTGAAACTCGTAGCTTATAAGTCTATAGTCCATTTTTATATATTCCTGTGTGAGCTTGGACATAGTTCTCTCGGTGTCTTAACTCTGCCACCATCTTGCCCGTTCTCAAGCTGATCAAGCTGGTCCATCAGTGGCTTTTCCCAGTGCCCAGGTTCTCCAGATCGGATCTGCAGTGTTACCTCAGCCTGCGCTCCACTCACTGAGCTGAACTCTCTGCCTTCACCTCCAGGGCTTTGTTGAGGGGCAAAGAAGCTCCTTAGCCCGCCCAACTTCCAGGTGCCTGAACACTCCCAAGGTGGGGGAGGGGAGTTCTCTTATCCAAACTCCTCAATTGACAATCTCGCTCTGCTATCTTCCTACTGTGAGTCCATGGTGTTCTCATTTGGGTTGAAACTCATAGTTTCCATAGTCCGTTTTCAGTCTTAAATTCCTGGGCGAGCCTGGATGCGGTGTTCTCAGCGTCTTTAATCTGCCTCCATCTTGCCGTCTCCACCCCTATTAGTTTTTTGTTTTGTTTATTTTTATATAAAAGTTGTTTAAAGTATTTAAAAATTGTAGTTAGGTATTTTGATATGTGCCATTCTCACTGTTGTAATGTGATATCTCATTGTGATTTTCATTTGCATTTCCCTGATTATAAGAGATGTTGAACATTTTTTCATATGCTTTTTGGCCATTTGCAATTCCTCTTTGCCCATTTCTTGACTGGAGTATTTGCTTTTGTTGTTGTTGATTCGTGTGAGCTCTTTGTATATCTTTGTGATCAGTCCCTTGTCTGTTGTGTGGAGTGCAAAGATTTTTCTCAGTCAGTAGGGTTTCTCTTTGTCTTAGTTAATGTCTTTTTTGCTTTCCAATTTGTGTATTCCTATGTGTTTACCTTTTCCTTCATTGTCTTTGCTTTGGGTGATGAGCTTTAAAAGATGTTTTTGAAGGCTCTCCCTGGTGGCCCAACGGACTAAAGTACCACATTATGAAGCTCTCCAAAGCCATCTCCTGCCAGGGTGCTGACCCACACTCCCTTAGCAGTGTATTTCAGTATTTCTGCCTGTTCTGCTTCCTACTCTGTCTCTGGTGAATCCTCTCACCCACCACACCTCTGGCCTATACCCCAGTTCTGTAAGCATAAATAAGTAAATCTTTTTAAAAAAAAAATTGGTTTTGAGATCTATGTCTTATAGTATGTTACCTATATTTTCTTCTATATACTTTATGGTTTCAGGTCTTATGCCCATCTTTTATCCATTTTGAGTTGATTTTCTTGCTGGTGTGAAGTAGTGGTCTAGTTTCATTCATCCTGTTTGTCCAGCACCATTTGTTAAACAACCTGTCCTTATTCCATTGCATATTCCTTGCTCCTTTGTCAAAGATTAATTGTCCATAAAGGTAAGGGTTTGTTTCTGGTCTTTCTGTATTCCATTGGTCTATGTGTCTATTTTTGTTCCACTACTACACTGTTTCACTACATACACTGTATGTATAGATTGACGTTTGGAAGTGTGATACATCCATTTTCCTTTGTTTTTATCAGTGGAGCTTTGACTATTCTTGGTTTCCTGTGTTTCCATATTAATTTCATTAGTATTTGTTCTATTTATTTGAAGAATGTCATTGATATTTTTATTGGCATACCACTGAATCAAACTGCTTTTGGTAGTATGGCCATTTTAATAATGTTAATTCTTCCAACCTATTAGCAGGGGACAGTTTTCCATTTCTTTGTGTCTTCTTCTATTTCTTTAAATATTGTTTTATTATTTTCTTTGTAGAGGCCCTTCAACTCTTTTTTTGTTAGGTTTATTCCCAAATATTTGATTTCTTTTAGTTTCAATTTCTCTTTATTTCTTCTTCTTCTGGCTACTGACAAATGTTGGTGAGGATGCAGTGAAAAAGGAACTCTCCTACATTGCTGGTACAATTACCAGAAAGCTGTATGGAGATTCCCCAGATTACTAAAAATGGAGCCACCATATGACCCAGAGGACATAAAAACATTAATTCAAAAGCATACATGCACCCCTGTTTATGAAGTACTATCTACAATACGAGAAACCTTGAAATAGCCCAGATGCCCAAAATTAAATGATTGGATCAAGAAGATGTGGTATATGTACACAATGGAGTACTACTCATCAATCAAAAAAGATAAACGCATGCCACTTGCAGCAACATAGGTGGGTCTAGAAGTGATTATGCTCCGTATTATAAGTCAGAAGGAAAAAGAAAAATATCGAATGGTTTCATTTATATAAAGGAACCAAAAAAGACATAGGGGAAAAATTGTATTGTTATTACACAAGACAACAAAATAAAAGCAGATGACTGTAAACCAGAGATATCCTACAGGCGAAGGAGAAGGAGAGGGATTGGAGGGAAGGAGAAGTGTGAGGGACTGTGGTGATGATGTGTATGTGTGTTGGGAGAGGGGGAAATAAACATTGTTTTTAAATGGACAACAATGTAAATAGATACATAAATTAATGAATTTTAGTAAATTTATAAGGCTATCTGAACAGGTCCGGCTCCTGTTTAGAAAATGAAGGTCTTGGGATCACAGCGCCCCTATTGCTTGTTCTACCAGCGCTCTGATTCTGCTGTTTCTCCCCGCTCTGCAGGTATAGGCAAGAATGTTATCTGTGACCGCACAGCGACACCCCTAGATGCCTTCCGCATGATGTCAGCTGCACACTACTACCCCAAACTCATGAGCATCATGGGCAACGTGCTGCGCTTTCTGCCGGCTTTTGTGCGCATGAAGCAGCTCATCGAGGAGGGCTTCGTGGGTGAACTGCTGGTGTGCGAGGTGCAGGTTCACAGTGGCAGCCTGCTAGGCAAGAAGTACAACTGGAGCTGCGATGACCTGATGGGTGGCGGTGGCCTGCACTCGGTGGGCACCTACATCATCGACCTGCTTACCTTCCTTACTGGCCAGAAGGCTGTCAAGGTCCATGGGCTGCTCAAGACCTTCGTGAAGCAGACTGACCACATCAAGGGTATCCGCCAGATCACCAGCGACGACTTCTGCACCTTCCAGATGGTGCTGGAGGGTGGGGTGTGCTGCACTGTTACCCTCAACTTCAATGTGCCGGGTGAGTTCAAGCAGGATGTGACCGTGGTGGGTTCTGCTGGGCGCCTGCTGGTGGTGAGCACAGACCTATATGGGCAGCGCAACAGTGCCCCAGAGCAGGAGCTGCTGCTGCAGGATGCCACGCCAGTTAGCAACTCTCTGCTGCCAGAGAAGGCCTTCAGCGACATCCCCTCACCCTACCTCCGAGGCACCATTAAGATGATGCAGGCCGTGCGTCAGGCCTTCCAGGACCAGGATGATCGACGCACATGGGATGGGCGGCCACTCACCATGGCTGCCACCTTCGACGACTGCTTGTACGCCCTATGTGTAGTGGACACCATCAAACGGTCCAGCCAGACTGGCGAGTGGCAGAACATTGCCATCATGACTGAGGAACCAGAGCTGAGTCCGGCCTATCTGATCAGCGAGGCCATGCGTCGCAGCAGGATGTCTCTGTATTGTTAGCACAGAGTGGGCCTAGGTGATGAGAGAGGCTTGAAGAAGCTGTGGCCTCGAGGAAAGTGAGGGTGAGACTGGGGAGGGTGTAAGCAGTGTAGTAAATGTTCTGGGAAAGAGCTTAGCTCAGGTGAGAGGCCCCTAACAAGACTGTTACAGAGATCTTCTCTGCTGCCATCTGTGTGAGGGAGGTTTAGCTGACTCCATGGCAGCTACTGTGAGAAGCAAGGATGGCTTTCCTCCCAACTTCATACCCCAACCACATACATGCTCCTGTGTGGTCAAGGTCGAGGCACTGTATCTGATGGCAAAGTCGTGGATATTGGCCTTGCTGTCACTGACTCCTGGTGGGAGGCAAGCCATTGCTTATCTACATAAGCCTGTGAGTCTAGGGGAAATTGGGGCATTACAGTGGGCTCCTGAGAAAGTTCAAATCCCAGGAAGCCACTTAATGTGTCTGAAGAAAAAGAGTACGTGGTAGTAAAGTATACAGCTTTCTTGATTGATTGGTCTTCCTCAGAGGAAGCACTGGGAAATGTCTCATTAATTGGTTGGTTCTTATCCCTTCAGCTGGCCTGAGAAGGGATAAGAGAGTGCCAGGAAGAGTGAGCAGAGAGAAGTATTCCTTAAGCCAAAGGAGAGCACATGCTGCATCTAGACAGATGAGGCAGAGAATAAAATAGTCCTTTGAATTTGTCCACAATTTAAAAGACCTGTAAAATCACCCTTACAACAGTATTTCTGATGGAGTGGAATTGAGTGTTGAGGTGGTCCTTCCACAAGGCTGCCCAGGCAGGGTCAAGAACACAGAAGGAGGTATGGTTTGCTGGAAACCTCCCCCCCCCCATAAGACCATTTAAGTGTGTGTTAAGCAACTACAGAATACTAAATAAAAAGTTTGGCCAAAACCAAAAAAAGAAAAAACAAACAGGGAGCCCTGTGTCACTGTGCGAATTCCCTGGTAGAAGGAAGAGTGAGTCCGACCTTTGGAGTTCCTTTGGCCTCCAAAATCCATCTTGCCTACAAGTTGAAGAGGGCTTATAGGAGCTTCATCCAGTGCTATGGATTTAAAAGGAAAACCTTTTAAGTGCTACTCAGATGTAATCCTCTTCCCTTAAAAAAAAGTTAAGGTTCTTTGTTTTGACCTTTCTGATGCCTGAAAAATTTTGAATAGCTTTTAAACAAAGCAAAGCAAAAGAAAAACAAGGAACATAATTGTCAGCATTTCTAAATGTAGCCTTCTGATATGTGTCCTTCAGGGTCAAGAGGCTCATGGAAGGAAAATACATGTATTTCCTTCCTTGCTCTTCTGTCTCTCTTGTCTTGTCACCCTCTGGAGATGGCAGTCTGTAGGTTTGCACAGGCAGTGCCCAAAGACAATAACCAGTGTGTGTGTGTGTGTGTGTGTGTGTGTGTCTCTGTCTGTCTCTCCTACCCACACATACACCTGAGATTTCATAAATGCTTACTTTTTTTTACCTCCAAGTGTCACTAAAATCATTCTTGAAAAAAATCAGATCTGGTCTTGAAAGAAAGATCTAATCAAATAATTTTGAAAATGGAAAATTGTTCCCGTGTTATCTCTTGTTCATGTAAGATCTTTGTCAGGTTGCATGTGGAGTCTAGGACTTATGAATCTACATAGTTTTTGTTCAGAGCGCACAGAAATCTAACAGCTGTCTTTAGCACACAATTGAGATTTAGGCTTCTTTTCAGATAAATGACCTAGATGGGCACTTCACAGACCTCCAGCTCTGAGACAGCAGAGTTCATACAGGAACAGCACCATAGCCTCCGTTCTCCTGCCAAGGTCAGTGTCCTAGGAATTCCAGGCCTCCTGACCCTCTAACCCCCACATGCAGAATGTTGCTCAGGTCATTTTCCAGCTCAGAGATTAAAACTGCCTTCCTGAAAAGAATCTTACTGCTTCCCCGGGCCTGACAACTGAAATGCCCCCTGATACTACTGACAAGTCTGGTTCTGGAAACTATCAGTTTATAACTAGAGATCTGGTAGAAGGAAACTCTCCCAGTAATTGGAGCAGAGGCCATGCCATGGACTCTTAAATTGCCTTCTGAGTAGAAAGAAATTTTTTTACTAGCTGGCTTGAAAGACTGTGACTGGCATGAAGGGAAAGCAGTGACTCTATGCATTTCATTTTTCGAAATTGTTTATAACGTAAGTTGGGGTTTTCATTTTTGTTTTCTGCACTTAACTGTATACTTGAGAGGTTTCTCCCACAAAGGCCTCTGAGCTTCATGTCTAAAACAAAAATTCTCATTTGAGGTGGGGGTGTATAGAAATAATACATACTTTTAGAAAAGCATTTATCTTTAATAAATTATTTTCACTTTTATCTACTGAAATGCATGCAGTCAGTAGATGAACAAATGAGAGGAATAAAAGCCCTAGATCACGTTTAAAACTGTACTAGAAGTGGGTTTGGGATACTCTTTAGTGATCCCAGTCTTACCTTGCAAAGACTTGATTGGGAGTCACATTAGGAAACTATGTTCTTAAGCCCTCCACAACATTCTGTAGAGGCTTTGTTTCAGCCCACTGAACAATAGTGCCCTCTGGGGTCTGGGCACATCCACTGACTGACCTGGGACTAAATCCTGGCCGATAACCCAGAGTCTTTCTGTGTTGCTTAAGATGCATCAAGGAACCTGTGAAAAGGAAGCAGTACTTTCTAGTCTTCACATCTATTTCTGCCCTCCCCGACACACTTTCTGTCATGTGTGCATGCTTCTAGTACTGAAAATTTGGCAGATTCCACTGATTGCTTTCACAGAGGTCCCAAATTCCAAAGTGTGAAAAAGTGTGTAAGTCAGATGTTCTTGCTTAGTATCAGTGTTTGGAAATCCTCTGGCTTAATTGGAAAGTTTGGATTTCTCTGAGCTGGATTCTCTGACTGGAGAGTCTACAACCACTGTCAGTGACTCCACAGTGGGAGAGGTGTTGCAGAGTCCCATCCACACTGCTTAGCCTACCTGACCTTCAGTACCTGCATCAGGTGTATATGGACCCTCTAGGGGCAGCCGTGGCCCTCTCCAACTCAGACAGCTCCTCCCAAACACTTTATCTGCAGAGAGCTATTGAGGAACAGCCATGCGCCAACATTTCTTGACTTACAACACTGTGTGCAGTGTTGGACATGAGAAAAATTGAGACTCTGAAGAAAGCCACTTGCCCAAAGTCCACAGCTATTAAGCAAAATGAAATCCCAAACCTTTCTCTGGGGCAGGGATGCACTCCCTGTGAGCCCTGTAGGGCTGTTCACCTACAATGTGGCACAGCTGTGATAAGGCCTTAGTGCTGCTTGCCTGGAGTTCTACTCACTCCTGTCAACACCCCTCTGCCACATTCACATTCTGCCAGAGTTAAGAGTTACAAGTAGAAGTTGATTTTTCTTTCTCTTCTGAAATGGAAATACCACTCAACTCCTTTAAAAATCACCTACACCTATATAGGTGACCCAGCAAGCCTCAGACTTGAGATTTTCAAAATATCCTTGGCCAGTTATTACAGTTGACTTTCAATTGTGTTCTTTGTGGTCTTGGTATACCTATAGGAAAATTCCTTTTCTCAGGGAGTGGATCTTTTAAAGTTAATTTGTTTATGACTAGCTGTATATTACATTCATACCTTTATTCTCTTTTAATGCTACCTTGTCTCATAGCAGAAGCTGTTGAATTTGGTCTGTGCTCCTAAAATAGGTTTCTGATGGGGTTGTCTCTATTCTGGTGGGTGCAGGCTAAGAGGTGGTAGCTTCATCCTGGCTAATGATAACCTGGGGAGTAAGTGAATCCATTTTCACTGGGTTCAGTCTAGCATATTCAGTTCCTTTATTTTACATCCTAGGAATTATTTTACAACCTAGGGAGGTGAAATGGTGTCAGGGTTACAGCACTTCTAAGTGGTATCACTAGCCACTGAGGTTTCCAAGTCATGATGTGCTCATACCAGGATTTTGGGGGGCTTTCAGATAGGAAGAGGGAGGCTTAGAGTGAAGTGACTTGTCTGAGATCCTGACTGGTTGGTGTAGGTGTGGCAGTTAGAACTCACACATGCTATGGACTGTATTTCCTGAACTGTTGCAGCTAAATGAATTTTTTTAGAAACTCAATTATGTCTTGACTGTACCAAAAAAAAAAACAAACTGGCTGTTTAAAACTTTCCCATTGTGATTGTGATGTGGATAATACTTTCTGATTACATGTACTTGGTGAGAATAGAGACACCAATTCAGATGTTTACCTTTTGGATTTCCTAAGGCAAGTTCTATTTAGGTCCCCTCATCCCACTCCTAGATCCGGATCTAGGCTTCGACTAGCTGAGACTCTGCTTCACCCACTGTCTACATATTTCTACCGCAGCGGCTGTGGAAGGAGCTCATTAGACAAAATTCAAGAGTTCACCCTGCATTTCAGTTCCCTTTTGTGCCCAGGGTGGAGGGCAGTGAAAGAAAAAGTGTGCAATTCATAGTGTGCTTCAGACTCTGCCAGCAGTTGGCCCACCCCACCCTAGGCAGGGAAGTGGGCAGACCTGGAGTGCTCCCAATTTCAGGGGTGGCCCTACTGAGTTACTTCCAGGATTTCTTACAAAAGCAGTGAAGACCTCCTGGCGATAGGCTTAGTGGTCTCATTGGATCTTGAGATGAAGCCACAACTATATCTGAGTGACTCCATCAGTGAGCAGCAAAAAGCAGTGGCCTACTAACCTTTCTCTTCCCCACATCAAGGTCCCTCTGAACTGGAGCTCTGGTGAGGGCACCGAAGCATCTGGCTCCCAGTGAGGCTACTACTGAATATTCTTGAGTCTGCTGCACCCTTCCTGTTTACACAGCAAACAGAGTAACAGCAAGACTGTGCTGTACTCGAGGGCTCTGCACTTAGCCAGGCAGTCAGGTGGGCAGGGCTCCGGGTCCCCATAGTGTCCTGCTGCTATTGCCTTTCCCATCCTGCAGCATCAACAGGGTCTTGTTGTTAAATGAACCCTTTTGGTTTTTCCTTCTAAATGTAATGACTTTTTTTTTTTTTTTAACATGACTTACTTGTGACTCTAGTTAAATCCCAGGAAAAGAAATGAAAGCAGGGATCTGACCAACTTCTTTCTTGCTCAGTCATCCAAACATATTTAGAATTCTGCCTTGTGTCTAGCCCAGGGGAGGAAGTTTCTAGCAATCATGGCTTTCTATTTGCTGCCTGGTGCTTTTACAAAAGTACTTCACTTGTTTTTTTAAACCAAAATAGCATTTGTTTGGTTGTCATTGTTAAGGGTATATTTATTGTGTTTTACAGACATGAGTCTCTCTCTATATACATATATATATGTATGTATGTGTATATGTATGTATGTATATGTGCAAAAACAAACATATATAAAAAGTCAAGGCATGTATACTAGATATTTTAAAGTTATTTATCAAGGGGAAAAGATGTGTGTTATAAACAGAGTCTATATTTTATATATAATGTTGATAGCAAAAAAATAGCTTATAGATTATAGAAAGTTTCGCTTTCCTTTTTATTATTAAAGCAAAAAAAAAAAAAAAGAGTGAATGCAACTGTTCCTAGTGTTTTACAAGCCACACTGCTGCGGACGAGGCTCGCCTGGCCCTCGGCAGTGCACTCTGCAGCTCTTGGCCTGGCGTCAGCAGTCAGACCCTGGCTGCCGCTCCTTCACTCATGGCTTCCTGTTGTCTTCCACAGTCTGCATTGGTCAGATAAACGGATGAAAGTAGCAAATAAAGATTGAAGAAAAGATGTGATTCTGGCTGTTTTCCTGTTTATTAGACTCAGGTCCTGTAACTCGTGAGTAGGCCCTTGGCAGTTTGTGGACTCTGAAGCAAGAATGGGGTTAGTGTGTGAACGGCATGTCATGTGTACATGAAGATATGTGGTGTGTATTGTGG